TCCTGATTCAGCTGCTGCTGGTCAGTTTCAGCAGCGGCTGAATCAGGACACCTGGGGCAGAGCAGATGGGGTGCTGCTGGGTTGGTCCAGTAGTGCCGAGGAGCGGCGCTACTGGAGCAACCCAGCAGCACCCCCGCTGCTCTGCCCCAGGCGTCCTGATTTAGCTGCTGCTGAAACTGACCAGCGCTGACTACGCAGATCAAATGACAGCTCTCTCTCTCTCTCTCTCTCTATCTAATGATATTTGTTAGTAACTGCTGGGTGCCACAGAGGCACACATGCACAAGAGCTCACAACCTCAATATTGGTGCCTGTAACGAAACTCACTCTGCTGATGGATGGAAAATCTTAGCGGGAACACTGATTATAACCATCCCTGTGACATCAGAATGCCTGTCCTCTGATGGGTGCTGCCATCAGGTATGCACTAGCCAGGAATTACCGTCACACATTACAGATCAATATCTGACTTTCTTTTAACAAGACATTTGCCTTTTATTTAACTGTTTTAAAAGAGAGACGTACATTTACTTCCCATGGCTACACTTAAAAATAAATAAAAGGAAATATCTTGATGAATCCCGCTGTCCAATACTTTGGGGAAACTCACGGTTCATAAGGCAGACAGCTAAATAAAAGCCTAAAGCAGATGATGATGTGAATGAACAACACCTGCAGTGCCATCAGCTCTGGCAAAAGAAATGAGCTTGCCCCTAATGTAGTTCCTTCCATCGCAGAGTCACACAGCCCTTATGCACAGCAGTGCATTTTGACCCATTAGACAGGTTCTATTAATACCATCATCACTCTACAACTGGATCAGGTGACACTGAGGAGGGAGGTGACTTGCTCAAATTTAGACAGCAAGTCTGTGCCAGAGCTAAGAAGAGGAGCTAGACCTGCCACTCATTGGTGCAGCTGCAAAGCTGTAAGTGCTCTGTGTAAGCGACCCATTGACATAGATAATTCCCCCTCCCACTCCCCCATGAGCAGCAGTGACTATGCTGGTGGGTAAAGCTCTTCCGCTGACACAGTGCTGTCCACACCAGCACTTAGGTGTAACTTACATTGCTTAAGGGGGTGGCTTATTCACACCCTGAGCAACATAACTTATACATACATAGTAGTGTAGACATAGCCTAAGGCACACAACTGAGGCTGTGTCTAGACTGCAGGCTTCTTTCGGAAGAAGCTTTTCTGGAAGAGATCTTCCAAAAAAACTTCTTCTGAAAGAGAGCATCTATACGACAAATGCACATCAAAAAAGCATCTGCTTTTTCAAAAGAGAGCGTCTAAACTGAATGGACACTCTCTTGCATTCCAGTTGTGATTACTATGGACGCAGTGGCCACCAGGGCACATGTGCTTTTTCCTCTTTCCTCTTCTTTCAAAAGAACTCCCTCTTCCCCATCCACACAGGCCTTTTTCCAAAAGAGCTCTTTTGAAAAAAGGCTTCTTCCTCGTAGAAAGAGGTTTACCAATTTCGGAAAAACCCCTCTATTCTTTCAATTTTTTTCTCGAAAGAATGCGATTGCAGTGTGGACATAAGTGAAGTTTATCCGAAAAAACTCCACAGTGTAGACATACCCTCAGGCAGCATACTAGGCTGATCCTCTTACAAGAGTTTGCATTAGTCAGGTTTCAAAGTACAAACTGATCATAAGAGCTACAGTCTGGAAGAATTCTGTCCCCATTGTGCTATGATGTGTATTGTAGGTGTTATATTCCTTTCTCTGAAGCTCCTACCTTTCAGTGCCACTGGAGAGAACTGTGCACTAGACAGCTTATTGGTCTAGTCTTGTCAGTAGGGAGGGCTGACTATATCCTCTTACCTCATCATAGCCAAATATAGCTGCATAGAAATTTTCTGTCATGCTTCTCATACTTTCTTTTAGAGTAACAGAATCAATCTGAAAAATAAAACAAATATAATTTGTGAGCAGTGAGAGCAGCATGGTCTGAGGAGAGCAGCATGGTCTGAGGAGAGCCGCGAAGTCTGAGAGGGGTAGAACTGGAGCATGTGCAGTGTGGTTCATGTAGGTTGCAGGGTAGAGGTAAATGAATGATAAGCTGGCACAGACTTTGCAGAAATGAAAATTACCATGTGCCTAGGGGTAGGAGACTTCCCAGCCTGGGATGCTCTCTCGTCAATTTCACATTCCTCCCATTTCCTGCCAACTCCTCCCTGGCTCCAGACTGCCTGTCACTGTTGCTTTCATAGATTAGCAAATATTAAAGCCAATAACAGCATCTAGCCTGATCTTCTGCATAAACACAAATCACAGAATTTTACCAAGTAATCACATCAAAAATCAGTATTGGTTTGTTGGAAAAGTGACATGCTGAATGCCATTAAACTGCTACCATCATTTCACTAATACTGGGCACTTGCATGGAAGCCTTTTTATGACATTGACCAGGATAGGATCAAGATCTAGCTACCCAGCCAACAGTTTCCTGGGTCACTGCATTTCTCCTTTTAAATACTACCACAATATTAAATTCCCCCCCGCCCCCCCCCCCATCCTCCTGCACTTCTCTAGCATTCCAAAAGTTGTTGAATATTAGCATTAAGAACTCAGAGAGCCACTTGACCAATTTTTTTAAAACTCCTGGCTGTGAGTTATCTGGTTGGTCAGTTTCTCTGGCCCTCCTTTTTTGCTTTCTCTCTGCCTCATAGATGTGCCGAATGAATGAGCTGGTTTTGCTACTGTGTGAGACTGTGCAGTCAAACTAAAGCTAATGTATGGGCTCAATTCTACAAGGTGCAAAGACCTTAAGCAGGGGCCTAAAGTTATTGGGGCTACCCACAGGTTAAATTTAACCAGATTCCTAAATGATTGCTAGTTTGGGTATAGGTGCTCATCAGTTTGTGGCTTTGAGTCCTGTCTCAGCAGAGCTATGAGTTCCAGAAGGAGCTAGACTGCCAGACCTCCCGAAGGATAGCTAAATCAGACTCATTCTGCACTACAAAATGCTTCTTTCGTCTACATTTTTCCTTTTGTCAACACAAATTGCCCCAAACAGCTTGTAATGAAAACTTTCTTATCATAGATGTAGCTGCATTTTAACTGGCAAAGACTTAGGAAAGATTCTTTCCTATATTGGACCTGTATGACAGACTTAAGGGACACTGAGCACTTGTTCTCAGAAGGAGCTCTGACAGTGCCTAGTGACTTTGCGTGGAAAGACGGACCAAAGGAGCCCCATATGGTCTCTGCTTAGTACATTCCTCAAACCTCAGTCACAAACACCTGAGACTGCTTATGTATGGCTAGTGTTCTAGGATATTCTCTTGTGTTCTGCCTAGTACAGGCAGTTTCCAAATGCTCACATCTAAAAATGTCTAATTTAATTATCTTCAAAACTGTCCAAAATAAAGAAACAAAAATGCATGCTCCCCTCATCCCATGTGTGACACTGAAGATGGAAGTGAGGATTGTTTTAAAAAACAAAACAAAACAAAACAAAAAAACTGTTGGGGATCAGTATAGTGTTTTCTATGGAAAATGCATTATTGTTTGGGGCTTGCAATACCACATCAAATACAGACACTACACAGTACTGGTCAATTAGGATTATAGCTATAAAATAATCTTAACATTCTGGAATAGCTACTCTCTCAAAAATGATTTTATATCATGCCATCAAATCTACAAGTTATACAATCCTTCATTAAACCACTGTCCTTTTTCATAATTCAATTTTTATAAGAATACATATAGTGTAACCACAAAGAAAATGTTCCTTTTATGTCAATTACACATATTTTTCCAATTATATAAGCTATTAAATTCATGCAGATACTTTATAGGCCATCAAGATGTGGTGACCAGCTATTGCTGAATGTTTAATAAAACCTAAACAGAAGAAATCAGAGGGCTAAATGATGACTGAAACTCCTGTAATGACTTAATTAAACTTTTATTGAGTACATAAACTATGATGTCACTTCTAGCCAACCACACTTATACTCTCTCTATAGATGCCAGGGACTGTGGTTTTTCTCAATAGAACATACTTCTAAATAAGCAGCACTTCTACACTCTAATAGGGGAGCAGGTCTCATGTAACACACTCAATAAATTATCCTTCCATTTTTAAACAAACAAATTCCATGAGTTATAATATATTTGCCATGCACTTTTTATGACATAATAAAAATGTTACCTTAAGGATTACTTAACACATACTACAAATGTTACAGCAGGCATTTGCAAAGGGGTAAAGAAAACAAATAGTCCCATTACAGGGACAAGTCCTGGACTAAACATCCCTAGGGAAGCACTTACTATATTAAAAACAAAAAGCAGCAGCTTTAGGTTAGTAAGAACTGGATTAATGAAGGAGATAAAGTTAAACAAACATGGCAATAAGTACATCTTGGGATATCATGCTATTTTTAAGAAATGTAGCCAACAAGGCATAACTACAAAGAGCTGGAGAAACAGTCTCTCTCATAAAACAAGCGAACCACATTAAGAGAAATTAGCACTCTTTGGAAACCATTCCCTTCTCGGGAAACAAACAATAAAACCAGATGAGTTCTCCTGGAACATGGCTCCATCACACTCTGGAGTGTCCTACCTCAAACAGTTACCAGAATCAGGACATCCATGGACCAGTGCCTGAAAAAAAAAAGTTACCTGTCTTTGTAACGTTTGTTCTTCAGGATGTGTTACTTATGTCCATTCCATTCTACGTGTGTGCATGCTCATGTGCCGTTATCAAAGACTCACATGTTAGTATGTTCTTACGCCCTCTCAGTTCCATCTTCTTGGCAACTCCAACAGAGGAGGTAGAAGAACAGGGAATGGAATGGACATGAGCAACACGTTTCAAAGATCAACCATTGCAAAATGTAGGAAACCACTTTTCCTTTGAGTGCCTGCTTGTGTCGATTTCATTGTGTGTCTGTAGCCGGTTTGGCTTCTTGGAGGGCTTCCTCCTCCTCCTCCAGGTCAGTGAGCGGCCACTCCGCCCCACTACACTGGCCCTTTAAGCCAAGCCCCAAGTCACTAGTCTTGGACCTTCCTTCAGGCAGGGCAGCATACAAAAAAAGTCAGCCTATATATATAGGCCAGGCCCTGGTTCAGGGCGTGTCAACAACCCCAGTCAGTTTCTAGAGCACGTCCAGGCCCTTATTCAGGGCGTGGCCATTACAAACAGAATTAGTTCATGACACATGGCCAGGCCCTTGGTTAGGGTTGCCAGATGGTCTCCCCAAAAATACCGGACACCCAGTATTTTTTGATCAAGCAAAAAAAAAAAAAAAAAAAGGAACACGGGATAAGTGACAATCGCAACCCCGCCTCCCAGCTGGAAACCTGTGATTGCAGAAGCCTGGCGGGGGTGGGGGGGGTGGCTAAAAAAAAAAAAAAAGGAACACGGGATAAGTGACAATCGCACCCCCGCCTCCCAGCTGGAGAGTCCCAGGCTGGAAGGCGGGGCCGCCATCGGCACAGGGAGCCTGTGATTGCGCAGAAGCCTGGCGGGGGGGCTCCCAGCTACTCCCCTCGCCCCCGCCAGGCTTCTGCACAATCACAGGCTCCTAGCGCCGATAGTGGCTCCACGGCCCAGCCTCTCCCCCCACCCATGCCAGGCTTCCGTCCAGTGTGCAGCCAGAAAAACCAGAGAATACCGGACATTGCACATTGCACACTGCACATGTCCGGTATTCTCTGATTTTTTTTTACCGGACAAAGAGCAGAAATACTGGACACTTGGCAACCCTACCCTGGGTTCAGGGCGTGGCAGCAACAAACACAGTTAGTTTAACAATAGGCCAGGCTCTGGTTCACGGCATGGCAGCAACACACTCAGGTTTGGGGGCTCCTTGTTCAGGAGGGGTGCAGGACAATCACCTACGATGGTGGCGAGGGGGAGACTGCCACCCAGTAAGTGGCTGGGGGTGGGAACGCAGGCCCACCCACTCTACTGCGTCCCGGCCCAGGGCCCTAGGAGCAGCAGTGCAGGCTGCTACAGGCTCAGCGGGGGCTCCAGCCTGAAATGCGCTGGCCTTGGGTTCTTTAACAGCCCCCACTAACCTGTGGGACACTTCCCATCTCCCCCTCAGCCGGTACCTAGGTTTCTGGCAGCACAGGCCAGCCCAAAACGCGTCGGCCTTGGGGCCCTAACAGCCCCCACTACCCCTCTCCCCCTCATCCAGTACCTGGGTTTCTGGAGGCATAGGTAGGGAGTTCATGGGGGTCTCATCCTACTGGGGTCCTGGCGGTCTGGTCCAATCTTCCGCTGCCTACAGGTCCACGGGGCTCAGCCAGTCTCCTGGTGCAGGCTGGGACAGGCGACGGGGCCAGTCCTCAGGGTCAGGCTCAGTCGGGGACTCGGGCCAAGCCTCTGGCCTTGGCAGCAGCAGCAGTCCAGAATTAGGCTGACCCTCTGGGTCTTCTGCATGGTCTGATCTGGTGGGCGGGACAGGCCAGGGCTCGGCCTCTCAGGCAGGGAGCAGGTAGTCGGCCTCTGGCTCAGAGAGGGCTGGAGGCCCAGGCCCAGGCCAGGCCTCAGCCCCAGCCTCCCAGGCTGGGAGCCATGAGCAAGCCTCTGGTTCCTCTGCCGGCTCAGCCCTGACTGAATACACAGGCTGGGCTTTTATAGCCCTAGACCCATCCCCTGACTTCCTGTCAGGTGTCCGGGCAGGGGCAGGCTCAACCCAACATGGCGGCCAGAGGGGTTCCTCCTCCTCTGGGTCAGTGGGTGGCCACTCTGTCCCACTACAGTGGCTCACAAGCAGTCTCCTCAGAGATGGGCTCGGAGTTCACAGTTTAGTGACTTGTACTATTGTCCTACTGAAGTCAGTATCATCTCAGGCCTTCTGAGGTAAGTGCATAGTGGAATGTGAACATATGACTAGATGATCAGGTGGCCGCCCTACAGTAAAGTCCTGCATCCT